TATGTGTATGAATGAGGGCTTCAAAGAGTTCACGGAATAATTCCATTATTTTTTAATTCCATTTTCCATGAAGTTTTTGAAGCCCCCTCACGTACACACATGTGCAAGTCACCTGACATTGGGTATGCTTTTATGGGTGACATCTCTTTTCTGTGTAACAATGAGAGATCCCTGACATGAATGAAAAGAGAGGAAACATCAAAGGTTCAAAGTGAAGGAGGTTTGAATTATTTCTCAAGTTTACTAAAAATAAAGTAACATTATCTTAAGTAGGCAATTTAAATTTCGTTTAAATCAAAATAAAGACCATTATTTAATTTCCAAAACTGTCTTACAAATAATAAAATCTGAAATATAATCGCTGCTCTGCTAACAAGCCACGTGGTCTTACACTAAAATAGGAACACCATATGACAGGACAAACACGCTGGTTCTAATCCCTGTTCTATCACCCAAGAGCTGCTTTTCCTTGAATCTGAGACTCATCTTACAATAAAGCACAACTAAATCAGTTCTAAAGTTCCTTCTAAAATCCTAGTGTATAATGAAATTAAGTAACAAAATTGACATTTAAGTGTACAAAAAAGTATTTGTAATATTTGCCAATAAAAAAACTCTATATGCTAAAAAACTTGTTTTCAATTTCTATTTTTTTCTACATCTTCCTCCAACTTCTAGTCATTACTATTCTCATGGTTGTTGTTGTTAAGTGCTATCGAGTGAGTTCCAACTCATAGCAACCCTGTGGCAGGTTTCTGAGGCTTTAGATCTTTAAGGGAGCAGAAAGCCTCATCTTTCTCCCGCACTCTCATGGTTAAAACTACTGAAATATGCATGTTGATCACCTGTTGGTTCAACATGCTAGGTGCTGAACTACAACAAGATAGTGATTCTTTTGTTTTACTTAATGATCTGCTTGTTTTAAATGAGTAGATTCTGAACATTTTCTTGGCATGTACAAGTTTTATATATTAAAAAAAAAAAAAAGGTGAATGGCATATTTACTAGTCAAGAATTACAGGACAAAAGTAACAAAATCAAACACAGTGACTTAATGTGTTTATTTTTTCTCACATAGTAAGTGAAGAGGTTGGCAATTTGTACACATTTGTTGAGGTGTTCAACACTGCCATCAGGAACCAACTAACTAGTTGTTGAGAAGTGGACTCCCAACAACACATATGGCAAACCCATGTTTGTCAAAAGCGGAGTTGTGCTCCACAGAGTTTTCACATAGGCAGATCCTGATTTTCTGCAGCACCAGCTGTGGCTCTCACTCATGCATCTCATGGTTTAAGGTGGCTGTTGTCTGTACCATTAAGCATCTTGTTTGGCAATCACAGCCAGGAAGAAAAAAAAAAGCAAAAACAAAAACCCCATATACAGAAAATAACAAAAGAAGTACCAAAGCTTACAAAGCTTTGACATTTTAATTAGGAAAACAGGTCCTTCCCAACATGGTTCTCTTCATTACCCCTAACTCCTTGGTATGCCCATGTCTTAGGATCTGCAGTTGTGAAAAATGATAGCTACTATCCATGCGTGCCTATTTAAATTAAAACTGAATATAAAAACCAGTTTCTCAGTTGCACTAGCCACATTCTGGTGCCCAACAGCCACATATGGCTAGTAGCTACAATGCTACATAGCACAGAGAGAATCCGAGTATATATCCTCATTGCAGAAATTTCTGCCTTGAAACAATCAGAGACCACAGAGAATCAAACCACCACTCACCACTTGTGTTTAAATTTTCATGATATATGCCCCCTATCCCTGGGAATGGGGTTAAGGTCCTTATCCCCCTAAGGACAAGAAAGGGGTCTTTCCTACTCTCAGGACTAAATACAGTACTTTTAAAAAATTAAGGTAATAGTAGTTGGGTATGCAATTGTCTGTCACAATGGGATTATAAATAAAGATTGATAAATTATTATACATTGGTAATGTGTTTAACAGAGTCTTGGTGTGGCGCTGTGGGTTAATGCACTGGACTGCAAGGTTGGTTTAAACCGAAAGTCAACATTCCAAGCTCACCAGCCACTCCTTGGAAATCTTATACAGGAACACTATGAGTAAGAACCAACTCAACAGCACTTAACATGCTTAACTGGAGTTCTGGTATGGTGCTGCAGGATACAACACTGGATCAAAAGGTCGGTTTGAACCACAAGGTTGGAAGTTCAAGCTCACTAGCTACTCCTTGGAAACCCTATGTAGGGCCAACATGATGCGGAATCAACTGGGCCGGCACTTAACAACAATGTACTCAACATAAAGAAAGTTTCGGGCCATAAGTTATTAAAAGCTAGAAAAATAAAAGCAAAACTACACCTGACAAGTTACAGGAGACATTAGTTATTAAACAAATATTGAGAAAGTACACACTAATCTAGTAATTAAAGGAAGGTCAGAGGGAAGAAGGAAGACATGAAAATACATGGGCAGTAATTTCTTTTTAGTAAATATAAATTTGAAGAAATGGTTGATTGTGTTGCAAACACAGTTATTAATGTCACATGCAGAAAGAGTACACCTTTTGCTAATGATTAGTTGAGAAGAATTATTTTCTAATGAAAAGAGTTATTTCACCTGGGGCGGAGAATGAGTTCAATATGAAAAAATGAGATACAGAGAATCAATTACAATCCATAAAAAAATATTCAAAATGCTCAAAAGAAACTAACACTGACAATAGTTTTCTTCCTAGAGATTTCTAGGCACTATCAACTTACACCACGATCCCTACTTGCCAAAACTGAATGGTAAGTCTGCAAAAGTCTCTGCTTACTGCTGGTTAAAAAAAAAAAAATTACAAATACATGGTGGTGGTGGTAGTGTGCTGTGGAGTCAGTTCCAACTCATAGTGACTCTGTATAGGGCTTCCGAGTCTGTAAATCTTTACGGCAGCAGAAAGCTTCATCTTTCTCCCAGAGAAAGGCTGGTAGTTTCAAACTGCTGACTGTGAGGTTAGCAGCTCGACGTGTAACCACTACGCTACCAGAGCTCCTTTGCAAATACAAAATAATAATAAACATTTACCCTAACTGAACAATTAGCTATTTAAAAAAACTTGTGTCTTAATAAACTTAACTCTAAATAATCTATTAAAAAATGAAAAATACTGCTAGAGGTAGTATGTTGTTGTTAAGTGGCATCTACTCAGTTTTGACTTCTAAGGATTCTGCATAGGGTTTTCAAGGAGCAGCTGGTGAGACTGAATCGCCAACCTTGTGGTTAGTAGTCCAGTGCTTATTCTACAGCACCACGTTATTTATTATAAAAGAGGGGGAAGGAATAACAGTCTAATTAATTAGTTAAGCACTGGACTGCTAACCACTAAGTCAGTGGTTCAAACTCACCAGCTACTCCTCTACATAGTTGCCGAGTCAGAGCAGACCAGATGACAACTTAGTAACAAAACTCGATATGGATTACATCTCAATGTCAAGAAAACAAAAATCCTCACCACTGGACCAATAAACAACATTCTTATCAATGGAGAAAAGACTGAAGTTGTCAAGGACTTCATTCTTCTTGGATCAACTATCAACACTCACGGAAGCAGCAGCCAAGAGATCAGACGACGTATTGCACTGGGCAAATCTGCTGCACAGGAACTTTTTAAAGTATTGAAGAGCAGAGATGTCAGCTTGAGGACTAAGGTGCGCCTGACCGAGGCCATGGTGTTTTCAATAGCCTCATATGGATGCGAAAGCTGGACAGTGAATAAGGAAGACCGTAGAAGAATTGATGCCTTTGAGTTGTGGTGTTGGAGCAGAATACTTGAAAGTGCCATGGACTGCCAAAAGAACCAATAGATCTGTTTTGGAAGAAGTGCAGCCAGAGTGTTCTTTGGAGTCCAGGATGGCTAAGCTTCGTTTCTCATACTTTGGACATATTGTCCGGAGGAAACAGTTGCTGGAGAAGGATGTCATGCTGGGTAAGGTGGAGGGTCAGAGAAAAAGAAGACCCCTAATGAGATGGATTGGCTAGGTGTCATCATTGATGGACTCAAGTGTGGCAGCGGTGGTGAGGTTGGCCCAGGATCGGACATTGTTTTGTTCTGCTGTGCATGGGGTCACTATGAGTCGGTTCCGCCTCCATGGCACCTGACAACAACAACAATGGGGGAGGAGGGTAGTAAAGAGATCTGAGAACTGTAACAATTCTGAGTCAAAGACAGTTCAGATTTTGACTTTTTATAGAACTTAAAAAAAAAACCTCAACCACTGTTAACTCTTTTAGCCCCTATCCTAAATATTCTTTTATGCAATTTACAGCGAAATGGTTCAATAAATAAGTATTTTACAGGTAAAAATTCCCAATTATGTCATGTGACACAATAAAAATCTTATAAATAGACAGCAAATTTGGGATAATGAAGTATTTTGAGCAAGATTTATCAGATTAATATTTTAGGAATGAAAACAATTCAAACTGCTAATGGGAATGCAGAGCAAAATCCAACCTAACACCATAAACAGAGTCGTCATAATTTGCTACCATATAATTTGGTTGTAAGGAGCTCTGGTAGCGTAATGGTTATGAGTTAGGCTGCCAACCTCAAGGTCAGCAGTTCGATACTACCAGAAGTTCTGCAGGAGAAAGATGAGGCTTTCTGCTCCCGTAAAGATTTACAGCCTCGGAAACCCTATAGAGGGTTGCTATGGCAACTCGATGGCACTTACAACAATTTGGTTCTGTCAGCTATATATGCTGTATGTTTACCATCATCAGTGAGGACTTAAAAGCTGAGTCCTAATACAATATATTAACTATTTGAATATTAAAAAAGGAATCTACAGTTCTCATATGTAAGTTTAATAAATCATCATGGTTTATTTAACAAGGTTATTTCTATATCAGATTGTGGCTTAAAAGCAGTTATATACGTATATATATGTGTGTGTGTGTGTGTGTGTGATATGAAGAAACTGATGTACAATCAATAGTCTTCTTAAATCACTCTTCTGTGGATTTTCTCCATCTTCCTGATTAGCAGTAAAAGGCATTTTTAGGTTTATATAAACACATTCTTTACAACTGCCTTATTAACAAAATATTAGTAGTATATAAATAGCACTGGACATTTAGTAAATAAGTCATAGGCCAGTAAGTTCAATTATGCAGTTGTGAAATCTACTGTGGAAGAGTTCTTGAAACCCTAAGATTGGGTGATCTGCAATGTTTCCAACATGTCTTCGACTGCCTTAAGAGAGTATTTGGTTTCCTTCTTACTTCGACCTGCAAACTAATTAAAAAGGGGGGGGAAAAAAACCTTCAATTAGGCTCAATTTCAATGACAGGCTCAGAGTAACAAGCTTACCTTCACATTGTTAATGAGACTTAACATTAACTATGTTAGCACTAGCATAAAATCAGATATGTTCTTTTACCTATTCTGCAATAAAAACAAAACTGAGTTTTGTGGAAATTGTCAGTAAGGTTTCAACTTCCACTTTAAGATTAGAAAGACTGCAGCCCACACTTAGTCATTTTAAGTGTTTAAGTAGTAAGATAACCTATGTGAACATCCACTCAATTTTAAAACAATTTTATTCAAATCTGAAAACTTTCATGAAATAAAAAGTATAATTTATAAATTAAATATAACATGTTTAGCATTTCAGTTGACTTTAACCATTTTGAACAAAGGTACAATGTACCTGGAATTTTTATTATATTTTAAAAATTGTACGTTAAATCATGTAACTTTTTTTTTTTTTTAACTTGCTGGATTTCTGACCTGTGTCCTGACTAAATTACACCAAATTTCTGTAGCAAAAAACTGTTACATATTAAAATGATACAAATATGTTTTTTCAAAAGCATTTCTAGGATTGGGACTGGACTGGACTGTACAATGAAAATATATAGCACAACCAAACATGAAGAAAGGAACCTCAAAAAGTTAATGGAAAAATTCAGTTATCTTTCAACGTCATTTTCCACATACCTTTTGAAATTCCCTACTACTATTTTTGTATACTTAAAAGCAAGTTCAATATAATGCACATAGTCAGTGGGGGAAATGATGTTGATTACCCCTTGCTGATTTCAAAATGAGGTTTTTACCAGGACTGACAATTCCCATCATTTAGCAGTCTGATTTAACAGACTTACTCTATAATAAAGTGCTCCTGTGGGAGTGGTGGAAGGGTTCTTATAGGATCTGTTGTTTCTGTTCAACTACTGGCTAAAATTTGCTATTAGCAACACATTCATATAGTATTTTCAAGTTAACATCTAATCACTCAATACATTTTCAAGTGACTGGTTTTTCCTTCAAATACCAATGCTGTTTAAAGTACTTAGTTCTTGATTTATGATGTGTTCCTTCTTTTTTGTAATTAACTCAATTTGGCAAACTCCTCATGACCTGTTGAGAAGCATTAAGTGATCAAGCACAGGTAACATCATAGGAGCGATAGGCTTTAAGAATTGGTAACCTGCCTCTGACCTCTCTGACTACAGCTTAACGTTATAAGTTCCCTATTTCCTACCCCATTAGCTTCTGGTGTTAAATCTTGATCTGATAGAATACATAAAGGAGGTTTCTTGGGGAAATGCCAAGGAAAGACCAAAGCTTCTCATAAGAATCAAGGTTATTTTGACTTTCTGAAGACATTACTAACTTAAGGGATTTAAGTGTTAAATATACAAGTCATAATTACAAAATATGGTGGTAATAGCAATACCACATTTAAAACTGTCCTTTGTAATTTCCTTTAGGGAGTAAAGGATGTGGGTTGCACTTATTATTTCTATTATTCAGTTGATAAATTCACTTCCTCAAGGATTTACTAACAGAAAGCTTTTTCTTTTACATTGCCTATCCAAAGTAAAGAGAAATGGTCCTAATCAGATACTTTAAAGGCCTAACTCTTAGAAAAAGATTTAGTGGAGGGAGGGGAGGATCCAAAATAGAATACCACATAGCAACATTTATTTTAATTTTTTAAAGAGTAAAACAAAACCCTGTAAGACATAAAGCTGTAATATTTTTTTTTAATATAGCATTTTGCTGTTTGTACTTAAATACAATTAGAAATACACCAAAATATTAGAAAATGTAAGTCTGCGATGTTTTTAAAAGCTAATTTACAAAAAGCAACACAACCAACAAATGTAGTTTAGAATTAACCAAACCAATTTATTTTGAGTCAGAACAAATAAAAAGAAAGTTGGAAACATAAATCTATCACTTAAAAATTTGCCTGACATGCTATTATTTTGTCTATACCAGAATTTTATGGCAATTTAACTGATTAAGCTAGAATTCTATTTTTTTACTCAAATCATGATTTAATTTTCTACTTCCTAAAAGGACAGTAAGCAATTCACCTCTGCAATCATAAATAATATATGGGTCACTAGCATAAAATAATTTAACAGTGTACCAAAGAAGCATTTATCTGGAAAATTATTGAGTGGTTTCACATTAAAGTTTTTCGTGAGCATTAATCACACTTGCTGCCTATACTGAACATGCTAAACCAATTAACTAAATGAAGAGCAAGAAGCAGTCATATTCTGTTTCACTATAAAGTGAAAATAATGAAAGAAAAGCAGGTCTTAAAACATTATTTTATAAACACCTATAAAAACATTGCAATAAAGAATGTGGCACTGTGGTCTAATGCGTCAGAATGCAAAGTCGTTTGAACTGCAAGATTGGTGGTTCTAGCTTACCAGCTGCTCCTTGGAAACCCTACAGAGGGTCACTATGGGTCAGAATCGACTCGATAGCTCTTAACAGCAACAACAACACTATATACTTTATACTACTTTGTATTCCTCGACATGAATCATAAAATTCTCAATTAGATCCCAGATTTATTTACTATAATGTCAATCTCTGAAAAATACACTCTTCTATATTTTTTACTAACTTTGGTTTTTTTTTTTCCCCATTCAGTTAACTGTAACTGAAACAATTCTTTTTCTGGTGGATAGCAGAGAAATAACACAAAAACACTCAAATAATAAAAACTGGCCTATCGATTTCAGAAGTTGATGACTCATACATTGTGACAATTAGCATAAACTGGACTAAAATTTACCTTTGTACAATTTGTGGAAAGTAACATATGTGGGCAATGTTAAAAGTATTATTACTACTAGGGTTTCAGTTCATACATGCTCAGGTTTATTCCAAACAGAATGTGTTTAAACATGTCTCTGCGATCAGTGGATGGCTATAGTCAACTTTTTTCAGTAGTACATTTGTCTTAGTCTCATTAGGGTATAACTTCCAAAAGTAGTCCAATCATAACAGTGCTTTCCAAGGGGATCTGCTGGGCCAGTTAAACTTAAGGCATAGAGGTCAGCTCAGAAGGTTATAGTGACTGTTTTCTGGAACTTTTTCCCATCACAATAATGCATCCGCTCATTTTACAAGGGTATAAAGGGATGCTGTATAAAAATTTCTCTGAAGTCCTTACCCATCTACCCTATAACTCAATCTTCTTCAGACATCATTCTGTTCCCCAAAGTAAAAGAACACTTAAAAGGAACAATTTTAGTCCTTTCAAGGATGCCAAAGGTTCCATTTTGATGTGAAGTACATCAAAGTGCTGAAATCTTTAGGGGAGGGTTGTTGTTGTTATGCCCCATGGAGTCGGTTCCGACTCATAGCGACCCTGTATAGAGTTTCCGAGGCTATAAATCTTTACGGGAGCAGAAAGCCTCATCTTTCTCCCGCAAAACAGCTGGTAGTTTCGAACTGCTGACCTTGAGCCCGATTCATAACCACTACGCTATCAGAGGAGTCCCAGTGTGGGCTGTGGACTAATGTGTCAGATTGCAAAGTCGTTTGAATTGCAAGGTCGGTGGTTCAAGCTTACCAGCTTCTCCTTGGAAACCCTATACAGGGTCGCTATGGGTCGGAATCAACTCGATGGCACGTAACAGCAACAACGCTACCAGAGATACAGAAACACTACTTCTAGAAATGTATAGACCCAGACTGGAGGGCATATTAAGAAACAAAATCTTTTCATTTTGGTATTTTTACTTAATAAAACACCAAAATGACTTTGTAGCAATAAAGTGACTTTGTAGCAATACTTATTGACTCACCCTCATTCATATCTAGTGAATAGTGCAAATAATGTTATCGATCTTCATAGAAAAGTGAATGGATGAATCTCAGACACATTTCAGCTGAGTGAAAGAAACCAGGCACTGCAAGAGTATATAATCTTTTATTTCATTTATATATTTTAATAATAGGAAAAACGAATTTATAGCAATAAACTCTAATCAGTGTTTGCCTGGAATGAGGCTGGGATTGACTGCCAGGAAGCAGATGGGAACTTTCCTGGCTGATGCTATCTTGATTGGGGTGGTGCTGACATAGGCATGCAAATGTGTCAAAACTCAACTATGCATTTACTTTACATTTATTGATACATTATATGTAAATTAGATATCAATAAAGATGATAAAAAGAAAATGCAGAACCAATAGCAAAACAAGGGTGGGAAAACTACTGGAGCTATAAAGGAATAATACATTGTCAAATGACCACAAATGTTTCCCTTCTTACCCAAGAGGTGAAGTCTAGTATCCCTTGAATCTGGGTTGCCCATGTGACTTGCTTTTACCAATAGAGTATTATCAAAAAGTAACACAACCAGAGGTAAGAAAAGGGTAAAAACAAGTGAACCCTTCTAAAAATGACAGAATTACTCAACTGAGTCCAATCTTGCCTTATTTTTCTCATTTGTAAAACAGAAAGTGCCTATTCTCCTAATAAAAGCTCTATTATTGTTTGCTGTTATAATTGCTGTTATTGTTCATCATTATTATTATTCCAACATAGGCTAATAAAGTGAACTTAAAAGCGTATGATAGCATACACTAGGCAAAAAGTGAATATAGCAGCACTATGTAATACGTATTATGTTATTTGGCAAAGATTATGCATTAGCATCTTTAATACTAAGAATATGCTCATCATGCTGATGAGAAACTAGGTCCAGACATATTATAAAATTTGTCTAAGGTCACACTGTTAACAAATGAAAGAGCCAAGATTTTAAACTAGCCTATATGTATCTAGCATCTGTTCTCTTCTCTATATTTTACTAGCTTCCATAGAAAAGGACTCTTGATAAAATATGAAGATGGATAAAAACATTCTGCATATCCACATGGGAGACCCCCAACTTCACATAATAAAGACCTAAGAATTGATACATCTGAATTATGTATTTGTGAAAAAAACTGATTATGCCATCGGCTGCCAGAAGAACAAACAAATCTGTCTTGGAAGAAGTACGAGAATACTCTTTTGAAGTGAGGATAGTGAGAATGTCTCATTTTTTGGACATGTTAACAGAAGGGACCAATCCCTAAAGAAGGACATCATGCCTGTTAAAGAAAGGGTCAGCAAAAAGAGGAGATGCTCATGAGATAAACTGACTCAGTTGTTGTCAACAATAAGCCTGAACATACCTACAATTGTGAGGACTCAGTTGTTGTCAACAATAAGCCTGAACATACCTACAATTGTGAGGAAGGCACAGGACTGCAAAATGTTTCATTTTGTTATACATACAGGGTCACCATGAGTTAAAAATGACTCCGTGGCACCTAACAACAGTTTCACATCATATGTAAAATGCAATTCAAAATGGATTATAAATCTAAATGCAAAAAAAGATAATAATTCTGAAGATACAGTAGATTATCTATCTTAATGACCACAGAATAGTAAAAGGTTTCTTAAACAGAGCACAAAACCCACAAACCATAAAGGACAACAAATCAACACCTGTGTGTGGGTTGTAGTTGTTGTTATGTGCCGTGGAGTAGGTTCCAACTCATAGTAACTGTGAGGTTAGCAGCCTGATTCATAACCACTACACTACCAGAGCTCCTGTGTGTTGGCTGTTGTTGTTGTTGTTGTTGTTAGGTGCCATCGAGTCAGTACTGACTTGTAGTGCCCTTATGCACAGCAGAA